ATTCGGGAGTTCCAGTTTCAGACCGTTAATTTGGTACATTCATAAACGCTTCCCCAGTATCTTTGTTGGAATCGCCAGTGAGGGACGCTATCGTTAGCATAAAGTTACAACTTGTCATAGTTATCAGTTTCTTATGCTGAATCTATTTCTCTCAACCCCACTTCATATGGCCCACTTACCTATTTGCACAATTCTGTGTTCTTCTTTCTTCCAATGTCGCTGCAAGAGGCGTTAGTGGGTCATAATCATCCTCACCATTGCTTCCCAATGCCAGTTTCAGGGCGTATTACTTCCATTCAGGTCCACTTTCATCCCATTTGCCAAGTAATCTCTGCTACACATTAAAAGAACTGTCCGGCTTTCTGAAATCTGGCCGCCTATGAACATTCACTTGTATTTCCTGTCTACATCATATTTGGGGATTTAGAACCGGTGATGCCAATGTCTAGGCAGCTCCTTCTCCCTAGGCTTCGAGCCACCACTCAGTTGTTCTCTTTCTCTTCCCCACCTACATTGAATCCCGTTTTTTGGGACCCTGTGTCAGGTTTAACTCGGAAACACCAGTGTGAAAAGCTAGCGAATCCTGTTTTCACTCTTGAATATCGTAAAGCACACTCCTCTTGTCTATTAAGTTGACAGTTATATGAAATCCTATGGTACTTGTAAATTGTACATTGAATGGTTTCCCCTATATTTTTTGGTCAGGTACGTAATTAGTCAACTCTTGTTAAGCGATATTTAAATGGCTAATTTGCGCTTTCACCGCATGGAAAAGAAAACGTACTCGATTCCCTAACCTTTTTAAACGATAGATGAAAAAGTCAAATTTACAATGGATATGGAAGAGAACGGGCACTTAGGTTCCTTGAATATGGAGGTCATTTGCTCAGAAGATAATGTCAAGAAACAGCTGTTCCGAATAAAAACCCCTGTAGTAATGATCTTTAACCTGATACTGGCGTATCTCTCATTTCCTTTGAAAAGGCGGCCGCATCAGATACCGCAGGAGGGTTGTCTTGGACCTTTGTCTGTGGGATTGTGCGAAGACAAAAATCCAAGGCTTCGAAATCCAGCTTCTTTTCATATGATCTTTAACTTCCCATTTCATCATACTCATGGAGTGAAGATTAAGATACGAGATATCTTAATATATCGTCATGAGCGGCTACATAATTGACTGGAAGGCAACGGAAAGACTGACCTCATTTGGAGAGAATACAAGAAAACGGAGACTGTGGATATCCTGCTTCAAAGAAACCTGTTAAACAGGAGATTGAAAGAGAAAAGAGTCAGCGATAATTTCGCATACTGCCTGGGCAAACTTAGAGATTCAGCAAGGACAACAAAACGAGGACGCTTGTGCCAGGTAAACTCTTCATTATCAGAAGGAGGCATCGTCAAGGTGAGGATCATGAAGTCAAGACAAGTCGATTGCAATGAGAGGAGTCAAACATGAAATCAACCTAAAAATTTACCAATGTGGATCCACCTGTGGGATGTTATCTAGGAAATTAAAGACCAAAAATAGACAAATAAGGTAGATATGATGAGAAACTGGGTTTCGATTATTCTCTTGAGATAATATTGTTAGGCGAACTTTTAGTTTGCATGAAAATGAATGAAGAAGAGATTAGTTGGTCGATCTCACCAGATGAGGACGGATAAATCTCGTTTTACTGCAGCCTTTTGGCCTTTATGCGATATTCATTTTGACGCAGTCCAACGAGATTCATCCGTCCTCATCTGGTGAAATCGACCAACGAATCTCTTCTTTATTCACTTTAATGCGAACTGAAAGTCCCCCTAGGCAAATAATGCTCCATTAGAGTTGCTAGGTTAAAGTTATATATGTGGCAAAGATAGGTCATCAGTGCGTGTGCGTATGTTCTTTTGACAAGTGACCGATTACAGGCCTGACTACAAAGGGGGTATGCCAACCAATGTACTCATGAAAAACTGGATTATATGGAACTGCCAACTTAATAGACAGGAATGTGTTTTACACTATCAAGGAGTGGAAGCATGAAGCTGAGTTTTTCACACCTGCATTTCCGAATTAAGCTGGACACAGGGCCCAAAAGAATGAGATGTAATGTAGGTAGAGGAAAGATAGAGGATAACTGGATGATGGTTCTGAAACCTAGGGAGATGAGGATGTATAGGCATGGGCATTACCTGATTCGAATATTCGAATATGGCGTAAACGTGCATGGGGATTGAAGGGTCATAGGTAGCCAGATTTTAGAGATTCAGACAGTGAATTTTATGCGTAGCCGAGACCAATTGGTGAGCGGGGTGGAAAAGGGGCTAAACGAAAGTAAGAATTCCTCCAAGAGGCATTTTTAACCGGTGGTGAGGATGATTATGTCTCACTTAATACACCTGTAGCAAAACACTCTTAGGTGAAACGAGAGCACAGAATTGTGTGAATAGGCAAATCTGCAATATGAAATGCAATTGAGAAAAAGAGATGCAGCACTAGAAGCTATGGCAAAAATAAGCATGATGAATGATACCAGAACTGTTGAATGTATAATTGGTTAAGGGGTTTGCCTTAACTTGTCATTTTGATATGATGTTATTTTTTGCTATCTATAGTGCTTCTCACTGACATTTCCGATCACGATTCCAGCCTATCTTTTCAAAATATACCAAACCAAAGGTCAGATGCTGGAAGTCTCGAGGACGCATGACCAGATACTTTCTACGAGGTCTCCCTGATATTCCCATCAAGTTGTGAAGGTGAGGTTGAACCATCACTATAAAATTAAAGTAGACTGTGACCATTCAGAAGGCTGCATCTGCTTGGTCTTCATATCTTCGATTCATAGCGTATGTCGGCATGAGTTAATTAGTATATTTGCGTTGCCAAAATCCGTGACGATATCCTCTTTAAGCCCCATACCTAAGAAGTTCTCATTCAAACCTCTGTAATGGCCTTCTTATTCTCCTAAGTCTATTGGCCAGTAAAGGTTTTAGGGGTTTGAACTACATAATGTGACACCGATATATATTTATTCGAAAGCTTGCCATTAATCCAAATTTGGACGCTCCAAATCAATGGCAGTACCAGGTTTTAATAAATCTAGAATAAGAATGAACTGTTTCCTTCCTTTCTGCACAATTTTCCATGTTTTTATAGTGTGCCACGCTAGTAAAGGACTATATATATGCTTCCGGTAAATTCATGCAGACTGTTAGTGCTTAAATAACCTCTTATATCTCTTCCACACAGGCGCTCCCGCGTGAAGAAAAAATATTGTAGCAGCCAAATCTTAAGAGAGGGTCATAATTTTCTCGAAAAAAGGAGATTACCGATGATATTGCTATTTTTCATTTGTAAATAGTCCTAACAACCTATTTATTAGCTCTTAATTTTTCGATGAAAGACAAGATATTCATTTAAAAAGTAAAAAGGAAGAGTTACCATTATAGTTAAGAGAGAGCAGAAAATAATCATTTTTACAAATAAAGTAATAGAGTGATCATATTCGAGTGAATATCATAACGTACTAATTTGATTTGTCGAAAATTCTAACTCTACATCTAACATTTCCCATTATCAAAACAAGCTTTATATACCGTTATTTACTATGGAAATTCTATAAAAAAGCAAAATATCGATGTCTATATCCCGTATCGTTGCTTTGATCTAAATTGGACGACTTTAGGAGTTCAAGGAATGTAACTCATACAGACTGCTTTATCAGTGCTAGCATATATACTTCTAGCGTCCCGGCTTTTACTAGGAATATTCTCACTCAATTGTGAAATATATTTTTACAAGAATGTGAAACCTAAGATAGAAGAATCGAGGTAATTATTCTTGGTTTTCTATATGAGATCTTCTAATTTATTAAATTTTGAAAATATTCTAGAATTATCCGTCGTATAAAATTATTCATATTCTATAAATTACGGATATAATGCGGGTAGCCTTATCACCTATAAGACAAAATAGAGAGAATTAATATTCACAAAAGTTTTTTTTGAATTAAAAGTTGCCTTAATATAATATTAATATGTACTTAAATTCAGCTTTAAGTGAGATAAATATGTATGAAAGTGATGAATAAAAAAGCTGAAATAAATGCAAGCTCTTAGTGAATAGCAAATAAGATATATAAGTTGTATTCATCCTAGTTGGTTTAAGGTGATAAGAGAACTACTTGTAGTTGAATTTTTCCCCAATGCTATAAATAGGCTGTGCTTTAACTTTAAATTTCACATAGCCTTGCTCTGTGGAAATGTGACGTGGTAGTTGCTACTTCAAGTTAATACGCTGCAGTGTCATGTTCAATTCCAGCTAGGGTTGTTGATAAGACCTTGACAGGGCAGTTCGCCATGTACGAAAATAGATTTTGGTAAAGCAAGGCTACGTGAAATTCAGTGGAAAAGTCATGTCTACTCATAGCATTAAGGAAAAATTCAATTACCAGTCCCCTTATCACTCTAAAAGAAATAGGATGAATACTTCTCATGTACATGATCTACTGAAATTCCTGAAAGCCTACTTATAAAAACGATAAATTAGAGATGTTTCAGGATTACAGCATAGAATGTGGAATAAAAATAAAGCAAGACAATATATGTCAACATTCTTATGGTATAAATTAATGACCTTAGCCTATAATAATATATATTAATTAAAAGTTATAGGATATTTTGTATGCGTTGTGATTTTGTTTTACGCATTGTGTAACTATAGCCGGTGACATCTTCAATTGCGTGGATTCTTTGTTTAGGGCAATGGCGCATGGTACTTAATTCCATTTTACTGCTAGTACAACCCTCATTATTCATTTTTGTGATTATTTTTATTTTTATCTAATTTATATAACCTGAGTTATATGTCTTAAAACCATTTTCAATGATGGGAAATGATATTACGGTGTAACTTGCTTCATTGCGTTGCCTTTTTTCATAGTCCTTGCGACTCGTTCATACTTTTTATCTTTTACAATTTTTTAAATTTAGGTTTTCTTGTTAAAAATAGATAGATGGATGCTCTGACTTTTGACACCCAACGTGCGCGTTGTGCCATTCCTTATATCGCTTTTCGGGATATTCAAGATGATACATTTAGTGAAACCTCACATGATTCAGATACTATATTAGAAGATACCTCTATCGATTCACCCAAAGAAGAGAATGTTGATTATTCTATTTATCCTCCTGACATTGGACAAAGTGTGACCCTTAACGAATTTGGGCTAGAAGTTTCATCATTTGAAAATGCACTGCGCAACTCTCCAGTAAAGCGTGCGCTTTGCTCTTTCTCTTCTAATAGGTATGTTCTATTTAACTTATTTTGTAGTGATCCTGATGAATATCCTTTTAACGCTGTTACTTATGGAGAATCTGCCCCCCTCTTTGGCCTGGCATACAACGTAATTTTTTTTTGTATTTATGCAGTTATAATAGGATCATAACTATTCAAAACAAGACGATCTCATTACAAATGGATTGGGAAATGAGGATTCTGATCAGTTAGCCTTATTAGCCAAACTTGCGCTTTCTAAACACGATAATCGCCCTCTTCCTTCATCGCTTCGCTTTGAAACTGGATCTAAATTTGGAGCACCTAACGAAGACGAGA